TTTCTAGTTACACATGTATGTGCCATTGAAAAAGACCTCAGTTTACGATATTTCCATTTGCACATATAGACATGGTAGATATCATTGGAAAAGTTGTCATTTCATTGTACAATATTTCCAGTTACACCTGTAGATACCATTGGAAAAGTCTGTGTTTCGTTGTAACTACACTCCAGTATACACCTGTAAATATAATTGGGATAGTCTAAATTTCTTTGATCTATGCCTACAGTGTACATCTGTATATATTGTTGGACAGTCTTTGTTTGGTTGTAACATGGCTCCAGTACACACCTGCCGATACACTCAGAGAAGTCTTTGTTTCAATGAACCATACATATCCTACCTTAAGTAAATGACTGTCGATCAATTTATTAATATTACTTACCCAGATATATATAATTTACAAAATTGATGTATATGTGCATTACCGTAGTTTTAAAGAAAGCCATATCATTAAAAAAAAATTACACAATGTAGAGGAAATAGTAAATCCCTCCTTTTTTTTTCTTTTGAGAAGGGGAACGATTGAACATTTAATTCATGAAGATAATATGCGGAAGGCGCTACCTTGAAAGCCAGCTTACCAAGACTATGTCCTACTTATTGATTGATTGTTGGTTTGCCTAACGTCCAATGGCAAATATTTCATGCATGTTCAGGACGAATGTCCTACATATAGTTTTTGTCTAAAATAAAATATTAAGTTCATATGGAAAATGTTAAGGGAACGATCATTGAACTTCAAAAGGCAGGATGGAGTATGTTTTTTTCTTCAAAAATATTCTGATTCACAAATTGATGAAAAAAAAAAATTCTAATCAAGCAGAGGACAAAAAAATATTCTGAATCCAGATTATCCCCATACCTTCTAGTGTTAATTTTTGAATGATAGCGTTGAAGCCCTTTGCATGAAAAAAAATCTAACTCAAACAAAAAACCATATCCCCCCCCCCCCCTCCCCCCCCCCCCCCCCCCCCCCCCGGCCGCCCTTTTCATAACTTTATCAAAGTATTATTTTTTTTATTTTCATGAAAAGGTGGAGGATTTGGAATATCTTTTTAATCAATATCTAAAAGTTCTAGCTGTTTTTTTTATTTAGTATTGCAAACAACGCTTTATGTTTGTTGAATTATTTTTACTTTCTAAATTATCTGGATGTTTATATTGTATTCCCAGTTTCCTGCATCTCATATATATGTGATCAGCAAGAGGATCATTATGATTAATGTTGAAAGAAGAGTTTGAATTTACAGTGAGCCTGTTTAGTATGATGTTTTGATCAGGTTTTTCATTTTGATCTCAGCATAAGGAACCATAAATAGGATTGTTAAGTTGATAATCTAAAGATTTTGCTATTTTCTAAGATGCTGTTTAAAATTTGAGGGGAGAACACTCAGCAGTATAAATGTATTCCTGATCATCTTCTGTTTTTGGGTTTCTACATCAATTTCATGTACTAATTCAGAATCAGTTTTATGTCATTTTTGCATTTCGTTTTATTAGCTTACTTTTCAAGTTTTTATACGACGGAAAAATAAAATTCAGAATGGAAAAGGGGAATATGTCAAAAATTTGCTTTCGAGTAATGCAATCATGTTGCTGTTGTTGTCCGAGGACACATTTGGTTTCCGGACAATAACTTAAGTTTAAGTAAATGGATCTCTATGACAATGTATGAAATTGTACCAGAAGGTTCAACTTCAACATGTTCAATACACAAAAGAAAGGTTAGAATTGATTTTGGGGGTTATCATATGGTCAAAAACAACATTTTTGGGTTGTTTTTTCCATAATTTTTTTTTTTTTTTCTCCAAAAATTTACCATTTTTACATTGATTATTTCTCATTTATATATAAATGCAACAAGTACTGATATGGCAGGAGATACACACGAAACAGGGTGTGTAAATTATTTTATCTGTAATTTGTGCATTTTTCCTTTGATGCGTACTTCTTGATAATGTCGACGTCAGTATCAGTGAACTGGTCATGATAAAGAAAATATATTGGGTCAGTTCCCAATTGACATGCACGAGTGCACCGCAAAAGGATCTTCTTTCCCTTTAATTCACAAAATTGCACATGATTTTTTTCGCAGAAACGCACGAGTTATTTCATGAATGACATTGTTTGAAACTTTCAGTAATAAAAAGTTAGTTTAGCCTTTTTGAATGATTCACTGATTGTTTGAAAATTTGAACAGAAAATGTACGATAAACCTGATAACATTGCGTAATCTTCAGAATTATTGATAGCTTTCCTTGCTATTCACAAGGACATATAACTAACATATCGTCCATGCTATTCCGATCTGAGTTTTTATTCATACATAGTCTGGCATGGCTGGTGCTGTTCCAAGTTGTCTTCTTTCTCTGCATGTTTCTTGAGAAGTATTTGTTTCACCTGGTCAGTCACTATAAAGTGTTACAATTCATATTTAGACGCAACACATAAATAGTGACCAAAAAGGTACCGCTTTCACATGTATGACATGAGAGAATCTAGAAAAAAAATTAAACGTACACATAATTTTTCAACATTTTTGTAGGACTATCATATAAAATTAAGGAGATATGTTACAGTTGAATTCAATTCAGTAGACTCTTGTTTATTACATGTATATATTAACAAATTTGTATAATGATTACTGTGAAATTAATAACATTGTTCATATGAAGAAGTCCGCATCTACGTCACGCGTTTTCACACATGACATGATTTCTCATTGTCAGAGGTTGGCAAGTATGGATATGTAGTTGGAGACTGCTGCTGAATAGAAATGTTCGGGCTCATCTTATACCTGTTTTTATATTAGTCCATATCAAAGTTTGAAGGGTCCAAAATTAAAATATGTTTGATTTCGAATTCAACTGACATAAAATTTTTGGTGTTTTTTATATGCTAAATCTACATCTGCGGTTGTATTAGGCTGTGCTTGGCGAAGCATTTTATTGCTTATTTGTTTGTACTTAATTTTATTTTGGTCATGAGAATTAACTTGTAGTTGTGAAGTTGTGAAGTTTTTAAAAGATGATAATTATACAACTTCGCATGGTGACACCATTGGCGTTTTCGTAGATTTACTTTTTCCCGGGAGTGCTTCATATGTTTATATATTCTCATTGTGAACGATTTGTGTATATTTAATTTATAAATATATTAACCGATGTTGAAAGACATGTATAATGTCAAATCATTACAATACAAATTGCTTAGTCTCAAAGAAATTTGTATGATTTCCGCAGTTATTTTTGATGAATAGGTGCAAATTGGGTACTCAGTGCAATTTTGGTAGTATGACGTTATAGCCATAAGTGTTTATTGCTTTAATTAATAGGTTGAAATGTGCACCTGATAAAAGTATTCAGTAGAGGAAAAATGTTATGATCAGGTTTAAACTGACGCATAAAATATACAGGCGACTGCGGGAGGCAATTATATTTATATATTGCATCCAAATAATGTGTTGGCAGCTTGAATTTCAAAGAATGTAGCCAACATACTTCCAAGTAACATGCTCTATACCTATCAAAAGTCATGGTATTACCATAAAATCTTATTTTAGACAATATGGGTGCATACAATATATATGTCATAAGATTTGAAGATATATGTACCTATAAATGTATCACTCAGACTCAAGTCTCCTTTTACAGCTGTTTTATGATTAAACCTAGAGAGTGAAAAAAAACCCAGTCTCCATCTCCTGGGACTGTTTAATGTAGATATAAATATATTTTTTTTGTTTAAAACTTTTGTAAAGTTTTGAATTTAACCTGCATTTGTCTGTGAGCTACAGGAATAACCGTGCTCACATTGAACAGTATAACCAACTTCATTATCACTGAAAATTGATATGGGAAATTCTGTAGAAAATGAATAATAGTAGTCATGGTCAACCAGAGGTAGAGCACCGGATTTTACTACCTCCGGCTACGTTTCTCTCGAAATTTATTGCTTGCAGAGTGTTTTTCTGTGTTCCCATCCCATGGCTGGACGGAACTTTTACACTACAAATGTAATCATAAATTATGATATTGTAACTTTTAAATGAAGTACCTGTGGTTATTTAGGAAATTTGTCACTGATAATGGAAAGATGAAGCAGACGATGAAACATTGCGTAAGATGTTGTTGTCCAAACTTCGGTTATTTCCATGGTACAATAAAATTTGAATAAACTACACAAGTTACTAAAATTTATAATTTCTTGTTTTTGTAAACAAACAAAAATTCATGTCGTATTTAACATCGAATTTATTCCGTGTTGTCCCGTTTTTTCAAGATCGCGATTAAACGAGAATCTGGCAGCCATTAAAAATATAAGGGTTAAACTAATGTCCTGACAATGTCCTTAAGGATATTCCAATGCTAATTTCGTTTTCATTATTTGAAGAATTGACTTTATATTTGGAGCCAAGCAAGAATACAATATTTATTTAATAAATATAAGGAAAAAAAAGAAAAAACAATATTTTTAAGAGTTATATAACTTGACTTGATCAACTTCGAAATTTAAAAAAGAAATCGTACGAGATTTAACGAGAGTGACGAAACTTTTTCGATTGATCATGTAGAGAGAGTTTTCTACCATTAGTGCCAGCTAAAGCTGGCTTATTAATCACAATCAATAAACCAGGTAATTTGTGATTTATATAACTTCACATTACATGTAGTTGTGGCATCAAGGAAAGTGCCTCTTTGCATGTTTTTGTGAAAACAGTAAACATTCATTAAATTCCATGTGGTTTAAATGTTTTTACAATTGTATCAATTATCTAAACACAAAAATCATTCTTTAAATATTCAATTTAGAGGCTAATAAAAGACCTTACTGCTAATCATCCTCTATTTACGAATGTTCGTCTTAATTGGTATATAACTAGTGTTTGTCTTTTTTTTTTTCCTCACCAGTAGCTTGCACTTCTAGATACATTAAGTTTGTATAAGATGTTATCATAATTGAGTATTGTCTGTCATTTTTTGTTTATATTTTAGGGATACTGCAACTTTAGGTCCGAGCAACTTCTGATTTATCTTCATCTTACAATTCAACCAAGCCTCGGTAAGTATTATTTATTTTTATTGAACTGTTGATGATATGCATTTTGTGTAGCCCACCTGCATCAAAGTTCATGTACGAGCCAGGACATACAGGAGATGCGGTATACTTGGCATCCCAGATGTTGCAATTACTTAAAATTTGAATTTGTGATTTAATTTATTTTCCAGCATTAACTTCTTTGAAATATTTCACTTATAACACATTGGCGTAATACAGACCAAATTGAGGTTATAAAATAAGAGGACCTAATAAGTAGTACGCATACAAACCAGCCAAAATGTATACCAGTTAAAGGATGGAATGCAAATACATATAATGCTACAAGTACAAAACCTTATTAAATGAACAAATTAAATATGCAATATGTTATAACTGTTGTCATTGTGTGGCTTATATTTTGTGTGTTTCAACATATATATTTTACACGGAATTCGTCATACTAATTGATTCTTGTACTATTATATTGTATAGTTTAATTATATATCCTTTAAAGGCATTTTTTTTTCTGCAATTTTGCTCATTTATCTTTGAAAGAAAAAGATGGAATTGGTTCGTTTAACTCAAACTAGCTTGCATTAATTCATAATAGAAATATACATATCTTACATCATATTGCTTAAAATTGATAAGGGGAGATAATAAATGAAAAACAAATAAATTGATATTCAAGGGAAGATAATTACATAACATATTTCGTTTAAAGCTATTTTGATGACAATGAGTTTAAAAACCAGTTTACTGCTATACATATACCATAGAATACTGAACCCAATCAACCCAGGCTGATATCAAGTTGAACATGTTGAAATCAAACAAAGGAAATATAACTCTTCAGTAGAGAAGGTAAAAAAAGGCTAAGTTGGTATATTTGAATTGTTTACATCCTTTCCTATGGGCTTTACAAGTTTAGTGTTGGTGCATAATTGAAGTGTGTATGCATTTTATATACGTGTTTTACTTAAATTATAGTATGGAGCTTCGAGATATTTGTAAAATTTTAAATAAAGACACATTTCCACAAAGCAGTCGATTGTGTTAGGTTCAAATACATGTGGATCTTTTTGTGCATATGCATAAATTCCGCCGAAAAAAAATCACCAGAAAGATAAAAGATTGATACTTTTAAACCTAAATTTGAATCTCGCACCAAAACAAAAAGATCATAGACACCAGATCATTTAATTTCACATTCATATATATTGATGATGTTCGTTCCTTTAACAATCCAAACTTTTCTGATTGGGTTCCATTGATATATCCTTAAGAACTAAAAATTCAAGAAACAACAGACACGGCTTCCTTCTACTAAATTTTAGACGAAGCAAAGGCTGGTCGGTTCAAACATACGACAAATTGTGTCTGAGCAGGGCTCATATACATATCACATTAGCATTATCCCTTTCTGAACTTTAAACATATATTGTTGGACAGTCTTTGTTTGGTTATAACATGGCTCCAGTACACATCTGCGGACACACTCAGGAAAGTTTTTGTTTCAATGAACCATACATATCCTACCTTAATAATATGACTGTCGATCAATTTATTAATATTACTTACTCAGATATATATAATTTACAAACTTGATATATATGTGCATTACCGTAGTTTTAAAGAAAGCCATATCATTAAAAAAATTACACAATCTAGAGGAAATAGTATATCCCTCCTTCTTTTTTCTTTTGAGGAAGGAACGATTGAACATTTAATTCATAAAGATATTAATCGAAATCAATAAAACAGGTAATTTGTGATTTATATAACTTCACATTACATGTAGTCGTGGCATCATGGAAAATGCCTCCTAGCATGTTTTTTGTGAAAATTCATAGATTATGGCCAATCTGCAATTAATGTATACCCTCAAATATAGAGGACAAGCAAGACAATGTTTGTCTATATGGACATCACCTCCATGTGCAAAATTATTTGGTACGTACAGGCTGATATCAAGTTGAAATTAACAAAGGAAAAAATACTCTTTAGTAGAGAAGGTAAAAAAGGCTTAGTTGGAATTTTTTACATCTGTTTTTATGGGCTTTAAAAGTTTAATGTTGCATAATTTAAGATTGTATGCATCTTATATATACGTGTTTTACTTAAATTATAGTATGGAGCTTCGAGATATTTGTAAAATTTTAATTAAAGAAGCATTTCCACAAAGCAGTCGATTGTGGTAGGTTCAAATTCATGTGGATCTTTTTGTGCATAAGCATAAATTCCGCCGAAAAAAAATCACCAAAAAATATAAAGGATTGATCTTTTAAAGCCTAACTTTGAATCTCCGCCCCAGCGACAGATTTTTATTTGGGGAGAATGAATTCTAAAAATGGGCCAGAATTTCTTCGAAAAGAGAAAATCGAGCATGTGTCGAGTACACTTTTTTTTGTTCAGGCGTGTTTGAGTTGATAATTTTACCTTGAAAACGTAAAAAAATAAAATAGTTTATGCATCATCTCGCTTCATATTCTAATATTGGAGTTTTTTATTGACAACATATTTGTTGAATTTGGAGGTAGACTTCTTTCAACAAATTGTCGGCATTCCTATGGGAACGAACTGTGTGCCTCTCCTTGCCGACCTCTTCTTATTTTCATATGAGTCGGAGTTCCTTTAGACACTTGTCAAAAACAAGAAGATCAAAGAAGCCAGATCATTTAATTTCACCATCAGATATATTGTTGATGTTCTTTTCATTAACAATCCACACTTTTCTGTTTTTATATCCTCCAGAACTTGAAATTAAAAAAACAACAGACATGGCTTCCTCCGCCTCATTTTTAGACTTATACCTCGAATTTGACATAAGCGGTCATCTCAGTACCAGAATATGACAAACGAGGCGATTTTAATTTTGAAATTATCAATTTCCCCCACCTTAGTAGCAATGTACCAAATTCACCTGCATATGGCATATACATTTCCCAACTCAATCGGTATTCAAGAGCTTACAGCTGCTACTCAGACTTATAAAACGTCACCAGTGTCTGAGCAGAAAGTTGATGATCCAGGGTTATGTCAAAGTACGTCTCGTACTTTTTCTAAAAAAAGTTCATCGGAAGATACCAAGACCTTGTTAATAAATATTCCGTATCAACTTCACAAATAATACACGATGGTCTTGAAGTAAAGATAATTACGTATTATAGTGTTCTTTTGTTTGTCTTTGTAAATTAGTTACTTTACTGTTTAATCTATTTTTGATAATATCCTCTTGGCGTGGCTCGGTACTTATACATCCCGCTATTGTGTTACTGTGCTATCGTCATTTGTTGTATTATTGTGTTTCATTTTTGCTTATGTGCTTTGTCTATATGTCATTTTATTTTTATTTTCTGACATATTTGTTTGTTTTATAGTGATTAAAATTATAACACCATGTTGACTGCCGTACCCCTTTTTTTGACATTTTTACATATTATGTTTGTTTTTTTTTTTGTTTACACATTGTTATAATGGAATTTCATGCGACTGTCATACATGTGAGAGGTTTAGATAGATATAAAACCAGGTTTAATCCACCATTTTCTACACAAGGAAATGCCTGTACCAAGTCAGGAATATGACAGTTGTCTTCTATTCGTTTGATGTATTTGAGCTTTTAATTTTGCCATTTGATAAGGGACTTTCCGTTTTGAATTTTCCTTGGACTTTGGTATTTTTGATATTTTACTTTTTATATATTTAGGTTACAAATGGACATAATAACATTTAAATTCACAGTACTAAACAATGAAATGTATGGGTTCAATGAAATACCTTTCAAATGAGTCATAGCAACAGAGTAGGTGTCTTTAAATAAAAAAAAAATCGCCAAAAAAAATTTACGACACACTTTGCTTTTAGATCTTTTTTGAGCATAACCTAAAAAAAATAAATTATTCTTTGTGTGTGTTATCTATGGTAATTAGTCTACAACCTCTGTAAATGTTAAGTCTGCCCTTCCACGAAATAGTGTTTTTGAACATTCAAAAATTCCCTCTGATAACCGATCAAGCAATAGTTTTTAATTTGACGAAAGGCCTCAAAGTATATTAAATGATGATTGATAGCTAATAGATACGTTTGGATTTTAAATTACAACTCAGTAGGACAACAGAATGTGCCTTTTTTCGCCTAATTGTGATTCGGTGGCGATCAGTAGTCCCGCGCACAAAATTGGACTAGTTTGTGTCGGCTGACGTCAACTGAAAAATGACGCGCTTTCGTTAACTTTTTTCTTTCGTTTAATACAAAGAACTGTTGATTTTATACACGTTTATATGAGAAAAGTATATAAAATTACGTATTATTGTCATTCTTATATTCTAAAACAACAGGAAATCTTATTTATTTTTTATATCTAAACATAGAATTAAGGATTTTAATTTTTCTACACTGTAAAATTAAATGGCGATATTCGAAATGGGTCAAAAAAATATATATCCTTCGATTTTCAATAATTTTTATACTAATACTGTTCTCGGTAGTATTTGGCATCGAAATCCATAAAGAATAGGGGAGTTCAATCCAGGGCAAAAATGTGTACCCATTTTAAAGAAAGGGTCTCTTTTTTATAGATTTTTCTTTGCATGTGTGGTAGATTTAAAAATTGGAAAAGTTTCTGTTTAAAAAGTAAAAAATCGTCCAAATCTCACAAAAAGGTGAATCTTTAGTTATTCAACCCCTTTAAAAATCACAATAGGTGTCAATAAATTGTAGAATTATAGATTCCTTTTTCGAAATTGAAGAAGGCACTATTTTTGTCTTTTTTCTATTGCGTCTATAGGTCTGCTATAATTATCAGCTGTTTCTTAAAAAATCTCCGCCTTGATTTTTTTATACTTTCATATAGTAATCTTTGGGACATAATGTATAAATTATGAAAACAATAGGCATTTCTATCGAGTAAAAATGGAGAACGATCACCTTTATTTTGTGTGTCCCTACTACGGGGGCGTGGTCCTCCCGTAACCTTGTTTCTGAAGTACACGTTATCTATTCATCACTCGAAAATAATG